GTGCTGGGAGCGGGCAGTTCAGAGTGGCATGATCAGATCTGTTACAACGTATGCACCAGCCGAGTAGCCTTCGAGCATCTTTTGCCTGTTGAGTTAACCGGCCCCCGGGCTGTCTTTACTGGGAAACAGCATCTAGGTCCACTCTTAACCCACCCTGAGATACGGTGGGTTTGAACGCTGCGGTTATATTTGGTGATTGGAAGGGGAAAAGAGCGGGATCAGGAGTGACGAATTGTCGTGGATTATGGAAAGCTTGTACGGGCGCATTAATTACCTGTATGTTTGCGTCCTTCTTTTGCAGATAGATGACAAATTCGTGATATTCCGTGGGAACATCACTGGCCGAATTTAGCAATGTTCTGAGCTCCTTGGACAATCGGCGTTCGAGCATTGACTTCCATTGGGACTTATCATGACTGGAATAGGTTGAGTCAGCGAGGTTGTCTTCGAAAAGAGATATAAAATCATGAAAACTCATATCTTGCTGGTACAAAGTTTCCATCATCCGACTAGCTTTTTCTGTTAGGCCCGGATCCTGACAACGTTGTCGGAGAGCATCATAAAATTGTTCAATTGAATTTATCTCCGAGGGTATTGTTGGGTCCTCGTAACAACGGAACGCTGTTCGCATTTTGGACAGGGCCGCAGGTCCAAGACAGCGATAGGCATATCGAACTTTCGAGCCTTCGTTTGGAAAACATTCAGCTTGATCTATGAATTGGTTCTGCAATTGGGAGCGGAAGGACCTCAAATTATCTGATTCGCCGTTAAATGGTGTAATTGAGGGGGCCGAGGGGCGGTGTATAGGAGTTGGGGTTCGAGAGGGAAGCGAAGTGACGGCAGTAGGGTTGAGGGAAAAGCTCGAAGCTGTCGCGTATATTTCCGCGACGCGCAAAGAGTCGATGTTAACTGCGAGAGCCAGAACACCAGGGGCGTTTAGGTAGGCAATACTCCATAGCTAAGGAGGAAGCATTGTAATCTCTGATTCAGTGGCATCCATGTACTCGCTTGGTGGCGAGAACGGGTTAGACATGGGAGTACGGGATTTATTTTATATTTTTATATTGACGCTTTGTAATTTCAGGCGCAGGTTCACTAGGCGCAGGACTCGAGGCGTAGGAGAGGGCGTAGCGTAGGATGTACTGAGGAAGGACGCCTCGTGGTAACGCGGAGGGCTTTCTAGAGAAGTGGTAAAAGGGAAAGCGGGGAGTCGTTCTAGATAGAGGGGCCGGAGGTGACAGTAGGTCACTATGTTTGGCAGAGGACAAGAGTGAGATGTGATTAGAATAATGTAACTATTCCTAAAGACAGAAAACAAAGCGTGAAGATATCAGTCTCGGAAATGGAAACTACATAGGTGCCCTCGCTAAGCAATAAAGACTAGTGGGATTAAATAAGGAACCCATAAATCCTGCCTGAGGGATTTCTCAAGAATCCTTACAGGTTTTGTTCTGAAGAGAGACGGGCAGACTTTGCTCATGGGAAGTGGCATCAGACATGGGGAGGAGGCTTTAGATGCGGAAATCACCGGGGCAAGGAAGGCTCTTGAAGCAGCATTGGGACTCCAGAGCGCGAGACAACGAGTCTACCTACTAATGGATAGTCAACAGGCGATCAACACACTTGAGACAGGCAAGTCCACGACAAGCCACGACAAGCCACGACGAAGTAAGGAAATTTCGTGAGCTGTCCAAATCAGCCCGCGTGATAATTAAATGGGTTCCTGGACACTCAAAAATTCAGGGCAACCTAGAAGCTGACTTGGCCGCCCGGTCTGGCCTACAGATGTTGCCTAGCTTAGAATTACGGGCAGAATCCATCACTCTGGCATTATTCGATCGCCAAATAAATCGTTTGCGGCAAGCATTGCTCGACGAATGGTGGAACGAAGCTTGCCCGCCCCGACATCGTAAGCTCGACCTGCTCATGCGACGACGAAAACCACCTGAGCTGGGACTTTCGAGGTTCCTACTCCGAAATCTGATTGCAGCTCGTACGGGCCATGGCGATTTCGCGGCGCATCATCGCCGTTTCAATAATCCGGACGCTCTCATGGAGTGCACCTGTGGGGGGGAGACCACTCCAACCCATTTTATCCATTGTCAACTACATTCACACGTCACGCGTCGACTCAGAGGGAGATTTTCACATAGTGACTTCATTCAAATGCTTCTCGGGCCAAAGTGTCACGAAATTTTCAAAATCTTTGTTCAGGAAACCTGCTGTTTTGGGTTTCCATCTACAAATTCGTCCTCTGATATTATCGAGGACCAGATAAATTAGTCATACAGATGATATGACAGGAAGGAATACATGGCGAGAAGATTTGTTTTCTAGCCAGAAATTGGTAAATCTGCAGGGCTGAATAGTTTTGTGGGTAGGAGTTTGGTTTCAAAGGTTGAATTTAATGTGCGGTTGCGAATTTTAAACAAGCTACTTATTGTTTAGTGGTCCATGCAGTGGGATCAAGTTGGGCTTATTAGAGATAAGATCTTGGCTGTAAAAACCGGTCCTTAACTCTTCGGGGAAAACGGGTTAGACCTAGGACCTAAATGAATAAACAAACAAACAACCATAAGGTCTCTTGTTGGCCAGCTCGGTCTACATAAACTACCCGACGTTTCGATACTTTTAAATAAGCCCGACATGTTATAAATGGGTCAAGGCCTACCTGCCATGCAGCCCGAACTATCGAAAGAAGTCAAAAGTTCTCTCCAGCCGAGCCTTTTGTATTCTAATACAGTAGAGAAGACAGTTATATACATATGAAAAGGAAAGTTATCCATCACCTAGACCAATAGTCTTTTAATCTGAGCTCTAGCAAATACGGGCCAAGTGTTTATAATTGGAGTGCTAGTTAGTCTTGTTATTACATGCTTCAAAAAAACATGTTTCATGAAGTCATTTACTAAAAGCTATGGTTCCTTCAGGAGAGCCTAGAATCCAGCGAATTCCAGTCGTTGGGTGTTTATTTCCGCTGCAAAGGCGGGACCGACTCCGACTGAGTCGACAAGAGAAGTAGTGCTCGGGTGACTTTTCTAGCCCGCAAGCGCAGATCAGAAGAGCGTCCGAGTGCTGAAAGCGGCGGTGGTAGTCAGCAAGGTCTCCATGACCTGAGTGAGCTGCAAGAAGGCGGCTAAAAGCGTAGCGCTTAAGGCTCTTGAGTTCGAGGGAGCTCCCAATATTGACGTTAATTCCCAGTTCTTGGTATCGTTCAGGAGCGTTTTGAGACCAGTACAGGGATACAGAGGCTTTGTATCGAGAGATTATGTCTCTCTTTGCTCGAGAGATTGTTGGAGATAGGGGGGGTTTCAAATGTTGGCAAGGAGATTTACACTTTGAATGCGAGAGTGCATCTGACACTATAAAAACAAGCAAACGATGGAAGTTGTTGTGGTCCGCCTCCTGATGGTGTTCTCTGGTATAGTTTGAGTAGCCTGGGCACCTACTTCACTTGGGAAGGAGACATCTCAGATCACATTTCGCGCGGAGAAAAGTTGATGGATGATGGAGGCATGTCTGGATAACTCAGGGTTTTTTAGACGTTCCCCTGGGTGGGTATTCACGGATGAGGGTTGACTTGGGGTGAAGAAAAAGCCACCATAACTTCGCAGTGGTACTTGCAAATGAAATCTGAGGCATGAGTGCTCTTCCTTTACGTTGAATCATCTATTCTGTACTTTTCTTTGATATTGCGTCATAGCTAGATAGCTGCATACGCAATTAAAATCTGATGCAAAGAAGAAAAAAAATCATCGCACAATTGCATTTCCCAGCCAGTGCATTTCAGATATCAATGAACTTCTTGTCGCCCAGCTAAGCTTAACCATATGCAATCGAATCAATCTAAATGATCTTGATGATCAAACCTAGAAATCTAAGCCTTCATACACAATGAGTCTAGATTTCCAACAATATGTGCATGTTACGGGTTGACCGTGTTGTGGCTTAGGCAGGCACCTAAGCAAGATCGAAGGTGATTACATCAATTCTAAATCATGGGAATGGCGTATAAGGAAACATCTGATATGACGTGCGAGTTGAAATGAGGTGATGTTTGAGTGAGAATGAAATGACGTCTGGTTAAAGGACTACCTAATAGTGAAGGAAGGGACATGGCAGAAAGGATTATAAGTAACCTTCTTTGGTAGCAATAGTTTCCTTTCTTCTTTAATTAGTTTAGTTCATCGAATTTCATCACAGCCAGCTTGGTTCTATCACAGTGCACCTCATGTGGTCCCAGTGTCTAGGCCTCGCCTGGCTGGCGCTGCAGTTTTTTCGAGACTTTTTCTCGCGCACGCAGTTTCCATCGCTTCCGTTTTTATTTTTATTTGTGGCAAAATGTTCCGTGGGGAAGGTGGCTGAATTCCACGGATAAATGTTGAGCTGAATGGCTATTCATCACAGGCAATATATCAATGATCCTTCAAGATGAGAGGCAGAGAGTACTGCACAAGGTGTGGCCTGGGTCAGAATGGAGCCCAATGTGCTAGATGGCCATGGACTTAAGTAGTACAATAAACACATCTCTCTTTCTCGGTGGGCAGTAGTACAGCGGGTTTAGCCGAGAAATTGAAATCCAAGGTCAGCTTGCTATGAGTATTCATCACGTGATATTGTGTCGAGAATTTACGAAGCTGCTAAGCTTTTGCCACCCGGCATAATTCCAACGTAAATCATCTTTTACTTGGCATCGAGTGACTGTAATGCCTCTACCTGTAATTTACCCTATAATTGACTCATTTCCCGTTAAGCCCATCTCTGGAATCAGTAAAACGATGTGAGTCCTCTAATAATAGACCAGGAGTAAGGTAATTCCGAGTTTTTCAAATCTATAACGACCTGCTTGGCTCGATTGCCCCACTACTGGCTTCTCGATTCCGTGCACGTACCATCCCCGTCAGCGGCCAGAGAGATGATTTAGAAGGTAAGTCTTGGAGACCTCGAGCGACTGCCCACCTACTCTCACTTATTATATAATTGGCGTGACTCGAGCATTCATGGCATCCGAAGACATATCTCACCTTCACAATCTTTCGCTCTCTGTAAAGCGGCCCAAAGGTAGGATTTGTGTACGATCTCGCGGACTCCTCTATCGACACACGCTAACAGGGACAGGAATTCTCAAGAACTCACATCGCCGTCCCTCTCAGGCTCAGACAAATGTGAAGATAGTCTCGCCTATAGTCCCAGCCTCTACTCCAAGGAAAAATTATGATTTAAAATCTTCATCTGAAAAAGATGTAACTCTCCAGAATACCCTGAAGAATGCAGGTCTCCGCCGGTCTATCTCTACTACTCGCCTATCTCAATCACGACGTTCATCCGGTAACTCTACGACAGCTCCAAATGGCGAGGATATGAGCATGCGCCTCAAATGGGATGAAGTCAATCTCTACTTGACTGAACAAGAGCGAAGCTCGACTATGAAAATTGACGAACCCAAAACGCCATTTGCGAGACATTATGATCCTGCTGAGGACGAAGAAGAGATAAGAAACCTTGATGCTGTTGACTTATTCGAAGAGGAGTTTGAGAATTCTCGCACTATCACAAGTCCTAGTTGGGAATCGCACACTAAGGAGGAAGAGATTCCAGGCCTGAGTCTAGGGGAGCCCGAGGAGGCTGTTCCAGAGCAGGAAGCCGCTTCTCGCCCGTCAAAGAAGGAGAAGACTGTTTACGTGGCGGGAGAGGATCATGTGGGATTTAGTCAGGAGGAGCAGGAGAAGCATCGAAAATTTGAAGAGATGCGCAAGAAGCACTACGAAATGAAGAATGTGGCATCTCTACTCAGCAGCCCTGCCGAAGATGACACACTAGACGAGGAGGAGGACATGGACACTGCCTAATGTGGGATGGCTCGGTATGTCACGTGGGTTACGAAGGCGTTTGTGTGTATTTATAAACTTGCCTGTCTGGACGTATTACATGCCACTAATAACACCTAGCCTAAAACGAATACATGAGTCACGAATAGCCCTAGAAATTGCATATCATGCACGAATGCATTTCATTGATGAAATGTACGCAGGTTCCTTAGAACTGTAAGAATCAATAAATGTTGGTAATCTAAGCTTGGGTTTGATGAACTTAATGTTTCCTCTCGCAAGTATACTTATTTCGTAACTTTGATTTTGTCGGAGAACTAGCTCTGCTTGATGTTTTGTGGCTCATGGTTCAATTAAGAGGAAACTCATCTATGCGCAGGGAGATAGTATGAAAGTCCGTTTACGATCGCGGAATACGATACCATTCCGAATGCGGAAGCTCGTTAAATGAGTAGAGCTCGGGTCTGGGAACAAAGCATCTATCCGGAGATGAGGCTAAGTACCCCAAGGTACTTTTACGGCTGCTCCTAAAGCGGGGAGGTAGAGAATTTCTTCACGTGAACAGTTTTGTGATCAACTAGGTAGACGCATGGATGGTCTGTTTCAAGCCAACCGTCTCAGTGAACCGCCCGCTAGCTATGGATAAAACTCCTATACTGCTCCCCACAGTCAAAAGGCACCGTGCGCTTTGTGACTGGTTCCCCAGGTATCGAAAAAGGTATCAAAGATGAGAAAAGTCTAACGCCCGCTCCGCGACAGCCGTAGGTTGGAGAAGGTCTTGAACAAACAACCTGAGGAATCCCAGGAAATTCTAGTCCGACTTAAAAGTGGTCACTAGCGCTGGTGCGTGGTCTCGACATGCCACCTGCACCCGGTACAGCTAAAAAATTTCCAAACCCATTCCCAATAATGATACTTCTCCGTACATCATTGCCAGCACCGGCCCATGCACGGTCTGCGCCATCACTTAGACCGTAACTACTAGTTGGTCTAGGGGGTAGGGCGCTGTTGGCCCGACCAGATCCCGCCAGGGAAGAAACACGACTGAAGTTCCACTCCATCTCGTCGAGACCTTTGGAGTAGACTTCGAGTGCACGAGGTAGACTAGGCGTAAGCGGAGGCGACAATACTGCCGGAAATAACGAGATTGTTGATGCTTTAGGGGAGGAACCGTAGGGATATTCGGGAGATAATTGACGGTTTGTGTTGAGGAAAGGGTTCGATGATTGTGAGGCGTTCTTCCGATGATTTGGGACGAAACTATCTCGGTCATATGCAAAGCTAGGTTTCGGGAGGGGAAAATCTAAGAGAGTTTCGGGGAAGCTAGGATCTACACCGAGGCATTAGCTATACGTTGTAAAATGTAATTTATTCATCAACTCACCTAGCACGTAAAGTTCCCGGAGGTTGGGTAATCCTTCTGACATGAGGGATGATCGTAGATAGCTGTAGTAACTTGCCATCAGTTCGCTAAGCTTCATGGCCTCATCAGCAGCCGTTATTTCGAAATGAAGTATTTTCAACGATGTAGATTTAAGGCACGGTAGACCAGACGATAGCGAGGTGGAAACAGCTTCTGTCATTCCAAGATGTTCCAAATTTTCGGAAAGAGCCAAGATAACGTGTAAGGTTGTAGGTGCAACACCTGTACCTGTCATGGATAAAGTTTTCAAAGCTTGACGAGCTTTGAAATCTGAAAGATAAGAAATTATGCCCTCGTATGTCAAAAGGGGGGTCTGGTCAAGAATTAATTCTGTTAGAGGAGGCAGCATCGGTAGTTGATCGTTCTGTGAAAGAACACTATTATCGAATGAGTTCACATGAGTGACCTTCAATGCGCGTAATCGTGGGAGTGACGCAAGTGCAAGACGTAGGGTGATAGGATCCAAGTTTAAACGGGATATCTCAAGCACTTCGAGGTTGCACCATACATTCCCGCCCACGAGCATTTCAAAACTTTTCTCAGCTCCCATAAAGTAAGACATTTTCCGCAAGTCTGGACAGCGCGCTTGCACTTCAAATCTAAGTGTATCGCAAGATGTATCTCCTGTTGTGAACACTCCTTCTGGTAGATCGACATATCGTAGGTTTGGTAAAACTGAGATTGTTCTGGCTAGGTCGGCCTGGCAGGTCTCCCGCGTTTGGTACGGAACTTTGAGGTATAGAACTTTCGATGAAACTCCACGTCGGTCTTCTCGCAAAGTGCGACTGAGTAGGCGTAGTCTTGCCTGCGCCGTATCTTCGGGCTCAGCGTTGCGACTCATGAAAGATTTTCGTTTCCGCTTTTCAGCTAGGATTGCCTCACGCTCACAATAGTGGACCTGGTCGATTCTGATACTATGGTATCTGAAGGGTGGTTAGTGCATCAGCTGGAATATTTTCACGCTTCATTGAGAGCCAACTAACTCACAATACATTGTGAACAGCTTCCTCCCATTTTCGGCATGCTCGAGCGCAGTGAGCGAGGTCGCGTAAGTTACAAAGCATGCATGCCTCGCTATGCGCCGACGACTCACAGCTCTCGTAGGTCTCGTCCTGCGTGTGTGGACATACGAAAGAGAATATTCGTTCAAGTACCTGTTGTGGAAGCTGTATATATGTGCAGCTCTTGGGATAGCTGAATCCGTTTTCCATTTGTTGATAGTGGTTAGGGCGAGACAGGAGCCCGTCCGAATTCGCTGCGCGACTCGACTTCTTCTTCCTTTTGAGCCACTTCATGAGGAATCTCATTTTTCGTGAAATGGTGTATAATGTCACTCTGAGGAATAACGAAGGTGCAACGGAGGGAGGAGAAAGACTTGATGATCGGCCAGTGAGCTAGGGGGCCGGAATGAGATCCGTTTATGTTGGCCTAGGGGGAAACAACGCGAGCTCTCAATTAATCAAAAGGGGAGCAATAGTGAGGGCGCGATAACTGCATTTTTAGGCTGAAAATAAGAGCTTTCCTTGAAGGATATCGCGGCGAACGAGACAATAATTGAGAAAATGATTTGACGTTGACCTCCTGATTGCTAGTTTAGCTACAGGAGTGTAAGATGATGCGGGAGTGTAACGAACAAGGCTAGAATTCGATCAAGATGGTACAAGTTCGTGGAGATCCCTAGTAGCGTTTAATTACCTAGCCATTCCGTGATGATATGAAATCTTTTATGGTGATTCCTCAGGTCACTATTTCTTACGCCTGAGGCAAAAGTGTGCTGGTGTTTCTTTTTTTCAGGGCTCCGTGCATTACATTGCCGGGGAAATGAGAATTGCTAGTAGTTCCATTAAATTGACTCTGGGCTACATAATAGTTATGAATCGGATTTATGCTGCCGGACACAAGATCAACTGAGCGCGCTGGATTAATTTTAATGCATTATTGTCATGTCCCTGACCTTCAATGCAAATCTACAGTTCCCCCCATTTGCTAGTTCTCAGCTGGGACTTTGCGCATAAAGCCGTCATTGCCGTCTGGAAACTTTCCGCAGATTGTAGCCGAGACTCTAGCGTTTATGCTAGCCCTAAGGCTGGAGGCGGTATGTCTTCATTCTTTTGACAGCCGTAATGTGAACACGCGTAGCGGGGTCAGCGTAAACACCTGCCATGGTATTGCACCGTGAACGAGCCCCATGAAAATCCCATCTCCACAGGATCCTTGCGACCATTAAATCCCATGGCGTCAAAGCGCGTTCGGGAATATCCCATTAGCAATCAGATCTCGGAGGTCAAGCTTAGCAGGGGCAGCTGTATCATCCATTTGAGCAGATCATATCTCCGGATTTCTTCTACGCACGAGCTTAAGGTTTGTTTCAGAGACAAAAAGTCACGGCCACAAGTTTATGCGGACTGCACGATCTTCTATTGATCTGTAATGAAAGGCAAAGATACTCGATGGCTGGCAGTCTAGGCTAAGTTTCAACCTGGAGAGTGATTCAGGCAAGAGTTGATGTTCTCAGTTCCTACTGGTTATGGAAGTTGGTAGGGCATATACTGGCAGCCGGACGCGATGGTTGGTTTTTTCAAGGCGTCTGTTGTCGTCCAAGGCTAGTTTCCTTGGGGACGTAGGTAGGGCTATCATGAAAACAGATCTTCCGCAGAGCTCTTGTCCGCTCAGACCAGCTTGAGTTACGACCCATGTAGGGGGTCCGGTGATAAGGGATAGTCGATAATAGGCATTAACATGCTCGGCAGTCAGATGTGCGGGAGGTTACAAGTGTATCTGATCAGACGATGCCCAACGTGGTCTAGCTAATGCTTGGCACAACAGATACACCTAGCTCGTAGCTGACCGTGGTCTCCCTTTGTAACTGTTTATCTCCATTTGAAACAGGATTCAACTACGTATGCAACTTATTAGCCGTGAGACAATATCAGATAAAAAGCAGAAAATAGACGACTCAATTAGGAGAAATGCATACATCACTCGGATTTCACTTGCAATTATCTCCCATTCTACTAAGCGCTTGCATTATATTTTAGGGCATGACCCTCATCATCTATTGGCAAAAATTAAGCATAATAATATACAAATTTATTATTAACTTTAAAGCTATTTAGACAGTTTTAGCTGTCCTTCATAGTCATAGACTCAGTAGGGACATAAATAAAATTCTATTCTATATTATATTTTCAAATCAACTTATCTCGAATTCCCAACGCCACCGATGCTCACTATTTCATTTACGATTGTTCCCGCAAAAAGTGTAGCAATGTGAATATCGCAGTCTTTCGATGTGAAATTTACAGCACGCATATAGACTAGTATTTTTAAGGTTTGGGTAGATGCAGCCTTAAACAGAAAACTAGTGCTACACTTGAGAATTATCGTCGCTACATTGTAACTACGCTGACAGGAGGTATTCACATGGGAATCAAGTAAGGCTATGTCATATGCGACAGATGCCACATACCGGTAGATCATCACATTTCTACACTACTGCAAGTATACGAATATATTGCCCTTAATTAGCAAATAGATTCAATTTATCTCATGGTTTGTTTCTTGCCAAATAACTAACGATAATCAAAAAAACTAATTTAATAACAAAAATTATTTACTTCTCCCACGCCAAAGGCGTGCGGAATACTTCTGATAGACGTCTTCACACAGAAAATATTCACTAATGACGAGTCATCTGAATCCTCGTCATTGAAATCAATTGATGTGGCTAAAAATCTTGTCAAATCAAGACTTAAGCTTTCACATTAACTTTGCCACAGAATTTTATTCGTACTTTGTGAAAGGTTACTATCATCCGGAGTAGTCGAAGGTTGATGTTGCAAGCTTCTCTGCATCTCAACTAGATTTTATATCAAAATGCAATTAATTTATCCGACTAACGCCCAGCAACCCATTAATCTCGGAAGATGACAAATGAGTTATTCTACGAGAACTTGATCCCGTACTTTGAATAGCTGAAGAGCCGAGGGCTATCAACGATGAAGAATTCAGCACTATTAACTGGATCTTCTGTTTATCCAAGGATGAAATAGATTTGATCCAATCCCTTTGTTTTTGCCCCAAGAAGATTCAATTACATATCAGGAAAATACACAGTAGTCAGAAAAAGCGTGGAGTTAGTTTCGTTAATGAGCTCGGGCAGAAGAAAATTGTAAAGCTTGCCTGTAATGTAGCTATCCTGGGTTATAATCTTAGATGTAGCCCTATTAACGAAAGGAAATACGAGTGAATGCCTTCCGCCAAATTTCCGACAAGGAGAAAGATAGGCATACTAACAACCATATTCGTATTGTGGATCATATCCGACATTGCTACTGTTGTCATCACTTAATTATTAATATGTAGTTTTAGTTGTGACTTGGGGTAGAGTACATACTTGGTGTGCCTTGAGCAGTTATTTTTTTTTTTGCTTCAGATTTTAATTGCGTATGCAGCTATCTAGCTATGACGCAATATCAAAGAAAAGTACAGAATAGATGATTCAACGTAAAAGAAGAGCACTCATGCCTCAGATTTCATTTGCAAGTACCACTGCGAAGTTATGGTGGCTTTTTCTTCACCCCAAGTCAACCCTCATCCGTGAATACCCACCCAGGGGAACGTCTAAAAAACCCTGAGTTATCCAGACATGCCTCCATCATCCATCAACTTTTCTCCGCGCGAAATGTGATCTGAGATGTCTCCTTCCCAAGTGAAGTAGGTGCCCAGGCTACTCAAACTATACCAGAGAACACCACCAGGAGGCGGACCACAATACCTTCCATCGTTTGCTTGTTTTTATAGTGTCAACTGCACTCTCGCAAGCGAAGTCTTGGCGCGCACAAAGCCCAATTCGTAAATCTCTTGCCAAAATTCGAAATTCCACGCCCGTCGAGAATGTATCCCTCTTCTGCATCATCTTGTAATCTTGTCCTGATCCCTCTCACGTCCGTCCCAAAGAGCTATCTCCCAAAATTGTGCTCCACGCTTTGCTTCCTCCGTCGGGTATAAATATCGGCGTGGGCGTGTATTTGGTGACCGGCTGAGGCCAGAGAAAGTCGACGAGAGGTGTGGTCATTGAAACGAGGATGTACTAGGTCGTACTTGTAGACTTGATGAAGCTTAGTTGAGAATCGGACTCTTTGGGAGTGAAAGATTGACATGGTGGAGTAATTTGAAATTTTGCCACGTGGGCCAACTTCTTTGATATTGCGAAATTTGACTGAACTTGGCTCTGGGAGAATATTTCACTCTCAGGTTCGTAGAGGACACCGCGTACAGGTGTTCAGTCTTGCCCTCCGCCTTGAGCAGTTGTAAACCCGTTATTCAGTCTACAAACATCACCCCATTCATTAGGGATTGGGTCAAGTGGGAATCAACCATCGTTTTCACATAACCCTCTATTCACATCTGAATACTTCACCCAACAGTAGCTGAGTCAATTTTATGGATTAAAATGGTTAAATCTAAGAAGATACTTCATGTGACAACACAAAAACTACCATCTAGATACCCATTATCGACACCTAACACATCGCATCACCCATTACCCTTATTCACAAGAATCTTCAATTGGTGCAATGGCCCCAGCTGTTGCATCGTCATCGACAACGCCCTCCAATCCAGGAGGGCAACTTCACCCAAGCCTGCTTGGCATTGTGAATACAATGCACAAAGCAGAACAACAACGGAAAGAAAGACTGGATATAGCCCAGGAATTTCTAAAACTAATCGACTCCTGGGCTAAGAGCAAAGGAGAGAAACAAGCAGCAGCAGTTGTCGCGACTCTGCTGGAAAACATCACGCCTGTTATCACTGCCTTCGCAGTAGATCAGGTAGAAGCATCTAACTTTCCAAGTAAGAAGCCCCCCACCATGGCAAGCACTCTAAAACCAGTCGCGCCTAGGAAAAATACAGCTGTTTAGGATCACAGCCACGCTCTACCCCCAAAGCCTCAAGACACCAGCTCGCCCTGGGTGACAGTAGCCCGTAAAGCGGCCAAGTTACTGACACCACCAAATGTGCAAGTTCCGCGAAGGCCTGCTCCACCAAGCCACCCGAAACCACAGACAACCCAAAAGGAGGACAAACGCCTGTTCCTTCGATTGGGGAGAGATCACCACTGGCACAAGCTCTCGCCAGTTACGATCAAGAAAATAATAACCGACAAGGCTGGGATAGCAGCCTCAGCTATCACCTCCATGTACCCAGTCAGGTCGGGTATCGCTCTCGAATGCGCATCAGATGCATTGAGAGATACAATCATGAGGATTGCACCTTCCCTACAGGAAGACAACACCGTGATTGA